TGGGAGGCGGCTCTGGGGGGAGATTCCCCTCCGCGCTGCTGGACGCCCTGGAGGAGTCTGCGCCGCCCCCTCGGGCCTCTGGGCACAGGGTTCGGGGCTGGGCCTCGTGGGAGGCGGCTCTGGGGGGAGATTCCCCTCCGCGCTGCTGGACGCCCTGGAGGAGTCTGCGCCGCCCCCTCGGGCCTCTGGGCACAGGGTTCGGGGCTGGGCCTCGCTGCGCCACGGAGGGGAGAGGCTGTTTCCGCCGGGCTGCGCCGTTGCTGGAAAGGGGTCGGCGTTCCTGGTGGGGAGCACAGCTGGGGTTGTGTCTGCGCAAGAACGTTCAGCGTCGCGAGCCTGTTCTGCTGGGGGCCGGTTCTCTTGGGTCGATGACTCCTTGAAGGTTTAAGTCACTTCAGTTTCTTTCTGATTTCTGGAAGCAGCACGACCTGCCTGAAGATGACCTGCTCCAAAGTACCTGTCATTGATGTCCAGAATGATAACTTCAAGGAGCTGTGGCCGTCCATGCTTCTGGCCATAAAAACCTCTAGCTTCATCGCGGTTGACACGGTGAGCGGGATGAGGATCCTTACTTCGAGGTTGAAGTAGTCGAAGATGTGTAGCTCTTTATCTGACTGCTAGCTTTGAGGATGGAAGGAGAGATGCTGTCTCTGCATAATCCTAGCTAGTTTCCCCCACTGTCCTTGTGCCTGGATGATATGCTTGTGGCTGTCTCTGGGCATCAGTTCTACACACTTCTTGCTCCAGAATTCCACCCAGCCCTCCTCTGGCTTCTTTTTGATCCTCTCCTTGATGTAAACTTGCTGGCCTGTTTTTTTTGGAGGATTTTCTCTTCTTTGAATGCCCTGGTTATCAGTCAGTAAGGGCCCACCTCAATCTTCTTACTAGTGAATATACACCTCAGTTTCCAAGCTGCTTTTCATGGAGTCCATAAGATCTTTTATCCTACTCGTGCTAGCTTCTTCATTGTCCTTTTCATAATATGCTGCCCAGACTTGTGCGCAATATCCCAGGGAAGCCATCCTTGTTTAACTCCTTTCAGGTCCTGCATCCCAAAGGGCATGATGGTTGATCTGAAGCACTCTTCTGTCTCTTGTGATGTAGCAGAGTCTGTAGGTAAAGGAGAGCATTCTTGTGTCAAATGTGCAGCAAGATTTAAATTGGCATCTAGCTAGTTTAGCTGCCTCTTAGTTTGTGGGACGGTAATTAATTCACTCTGAGGAGATGTTAATCTTCACATTGGACTTTAGTATTCTTCATGTTCCTTCCTCTTAACCAAATCCCCTCTCTCTGCAGGAGCTAAGTGGCCTTGGAGCAAGGAAGAGCCTGCTAAATCAGTAAGTGATATGCTGTTAGTGAATGTCAGACCTAGATGGAGCGCTGTATTCAAACTTGCATCCATTTTCCTACTTGAAATATCTCCCAGGGTGCCTTGGTGCCAAACTGGTTTTATTCATGCTGTTAGGGAAGGAGCCTCTTTCTGCTGTTACCCTCATGCTCTCTCCCGCTGGTAGAAGAGAGCAGGGCTAGCAGCCACCTTGCAAGCGCAGTTCCTTCTGGAAATTGTCACTGGGAGAGTCTGCTGAAAGCGGGATTCCAGATGGTGAGGCTGGGAGAGAGCTGGCCTCAGCCTTGTGATTGTGGCGGTTGCTGACTGATGCAAGATATGCTACTGTGTAGTTCACAGAACTGAAAGCTCTGACTGAACTACTGCTATGTAGGACCAGAGGTCCTCAGCCTTTTTGGGCGACGGTTCTGCTTCCCGTCCTGACAATGCAGAGGGGCTAACCTGGACTCACCTTCTCGTCCGTCCTGGACCTTGAGCTTCTTGTGGTTGTGAAAAAGGAGTGGGAATAGCCTGGTCTCCCTGGTGCAGAGATTTTGTACAGAGCAAAAGGGAGACAGGAGCAGCAACAGCAATCTATTAGGACCCAGAATTAAGGCCCTTCATTAAAGTAGGGGACCAGGAGACTAGAATCTGCTACACAAACCTGAAGCCATCAGAGTGGTTGGAAGTAGCTGCCATCAGGAGTAGTTTGTGCCTCGAGGAGAAGAGTACTGTTTGGTCATTGCGACGTGTCTGCTTCTTGCTGCACCAGCTAACCGCCTCTTCCTCTCTCTATGCAGATGTATTGAGGAGAGATACAAAGCTGTCTGCAATGCTGCCAGGACACGCTCCGTCCTGTCTTTAGGAGTCGCGTGTTTCAAACAGCTCCCAGACAAGGTACGTTGCCTGCTCAAACCACTCCTAT